TTCTTCAAATTAAAAACATCAAGTTACAACTGAAATTAAAGAGAACATTTAATATAAACCATTCATGTAGCACATTTACTTTTTAAACTGTTGTTCCACATGTTTAATCACTCAAGGAACCAAATAGTTCTCTGCACTAATGTTTTTAATTAAACAAGATACATTATGGTGCATTTTTATGTAAGAAGAGATGGAATTTAATGAGTTCAATCTAGACTTTGAATTTTAATTAATTAAATTATGCCAAAAAGCACATTGGCTACAGTCTTCAACTACAATAATTTTTAACTTTCTGTTGGCACACTGCATTTCTAAAATTGAAATGTAACAAATACATAGGAAACTGTCAAAAAAACTAGAGTTGACATTATTAAATACAATACTTTTAAAGAAAAGTTATATAACCAAATAAATTTATCAAAACATACTATATTTTTCAAACTATGCAGTTCAACAAAGAATGAAAGTTAATTGCATGAGCTGAACAGCTTGTTTCTGGTAACAGTATCCTTCAAGGATTTAAACCACTCATCATTCATCATCCTATGGCTATTTTTATACAAACTGGGGGAAGAATATATTCCCAGTTTGGTTGTTGGAAAGTCTCTGGCCACCTACTGTCCTGGCCTTTATTTAGAAATCTGCCAATATTCAGATCTTTGCTGAACTTAAAATTCTGAATCTAGGTCGTATTCTAGTGTCCTAACGTAGAGAAAAACCACGGGCAAACAGGAACAAGTTCACAGCAGAGGCCACCAACACCGTTGGAGGCTGTAGCACAGACCCTATGAGGACAGACTAGGAAGCAGGGTCTATTCCACTTGGATGAGACTGGGGAGCCTAACAGCAGTCCCCAGTACCAACATGGAAGTTATTCAGAAGACGGAGCCAAGCTCTTGTCCTCCATCCACAGGACAAGAGACAACAGGAGCAAGTTGAAACACAAAATGTTCAGAGAGGATATAAAGAGAAGGTTTGACATCCAGATGATGGCCCAGTGGTCGATGTGTCATCTCCATCCTTGGAGATTTTTATGACCATCCTGGATACAGCTTTCATACCTGTTATGACCTCCTTACTTACCCTGCTTTATGCAGAACTTTGAAACAGAAACCAACTGAGGTTCTGAACCACTTCACTAAATTATTCTGTGGTTCTATACATACAATATCTATCTTTAACTAAAAGTTACAACATTTTACTAAATTTAAATAAATCCTTTCCAAATCTATTAGCTGCTTGTCCATTGAAAATCAGGGATTATATGCTCTTGTTTTCATTCTGCATGTTCTCTGAGCATGAAAAGGGACTGTCACTTTTCCTAGTTTCACAGATATTTAACCCATTAACTGCATAATAAAGGGCACCCAAGGTGACTTCCCTTTAGGCATTCTCACTTAGAAACACTTAAGCTATGTTGCATCAGCTCAAAATAATGCTGAGTTTTTTATCCAAGACATACTACAGATGTCAGAGAGGGAGCAAAGTAGTTTGACACACTAGCACAAAGCACCAAGTGCCCTACATGCTGTTCAAAACTAATGCTTTTTCAGTATTTGCAGAAATGGTTTCAAAAAATCTAAATATAAAGCTGTTCAAAGGTCTTTCACAGAATTTGGTTGAGCAGTCCCCAAGACTACTGCAAGGATAAGAAACCAGACGTCAATGCCTTCTAGCGTATTATGGCATTGACAAATATAATATCAAGTCATGACAAACTTCAAATATCCTTCTAAAAAGTCTGACTAAAAATATTATTTCACCACCCTGCATAGTCATAACAACTGCACAACCACATCACAGCATAACAAACTACAAGAAGAGGCATCATGTATTATCAACCTACCCAAAAATTTTTACATCAGGTTAAAGAGTTCAAAAAACTTAGGGGTCAAAACTCACTGAATCACCATAAAAATTGACAAACACTATAATCTTTTTCAAAAAACAAAAACATTTTTGCATTCCAAAGTGAATTTAAAATTCAGTTTTGTGGGTTCACTGGCAGCATTATTGATAAGTGTCATGATTTAGGTATTCCCAATTTGGTACTCCCACTAAAAAGAATCCCTGGCTGCTCCCTCCATGTCCCCACTCCAGTGAAAAAAAACAAAAGGCGGAGATTACAAATTGTCGTAAGAACAATTTACTGGAAACAGCAATGAGATAAGAAAATGGACAGTAATAGCAACAGCATTAATAACAAAAGTGTAAAAAAGAGGGTGATTTACATGCAAAACTCTCCCCAAAGGCCCCAGGTTCCCTCTTCCCACCACACTTCTTCTTGATCTGATGCCACACCTTTCTTTCCAGAAGTGACATCACCCTACTTCCAACAGGATGAAGTGCATGGTATAGAACAAAAACCTAGACACTGCCACATGGGTCCAGGTTCCACCCCCTCACAGCTACTGCAGAAAAATTAACTCTGTCTTGGCTGAAATCAGGACAATAACATAGCAATCTCAGCAAGTGGCAGAGCTCTTTGGAAAGAAACCTGGAAAAAAATACCAAAGCCCAGGAAAACTATGGCACGGCTTAAGGGTGCTGCAGTCTAAAGATATCCTTCTAAAGACTGCTAATACATGTGCCCCAGCTTGGGTAGCAAAGGCCATGTGAAACTTTCAGTGTCCTGTATGGTTTAAGCTGCTGTAGCTTCCAACTGCTGAAATATGAACAAGTTCAGGTACACCTATGTGTGTTACAATCACACATGCAACTATATTGCCAACATAGTTTCAAATTCATTTGTTCCTGGGTGATACTAGGGTAATCTAATTAAACCTCAGCCAAATAAATCCCCTGGTTTATTTATTCTCCACTTTGATGTACACCTATTTCATCACACTGCTTTTAGGTCTGCCAATGCATAACAACGAAAAGTGAAGACTCTGGTTCATTTTCACATCCACTTTGCACAATGCCTGTATGTTTTACAAAGTTTTACACTCTTGCTATCACAAACTTCAGTCTAACATGCTTATCCCCCGCTTCTGCAAGCATACTTATGAAATACTTGCTGAAATTCAGTACATGTCCATCCTCCTTGCAATGTCCAAAATACGGTTTTAGTGGGCTAGTCTCCAATTTTAGGTAAGAGAAGATACACAGGAATAGAATGCCCTCATGTTAGCCAACTACCTTGAAATCACCTTTAACTGAAGAAACCTGGTTAGGAGAAAAGCAGCCAGAAGTACATTTTCACAAGCTCCCTGACAGAGAGCATAGTTACAAAGGTTTATGAAGACCCAGGTATGCGGCAATTAAAAGATAACCGTGCACCTATTTACACAGTTGTCAGAGTAGTTCCAAAGTCTGTCTTTTGGGAGCCAGCTGTTGGATTGACACAAGCTTTACTGCCCACAGCTGAGGATCTGGGTCTTGTGCAATCCAGTGCCCTCCAATTCCACTGGGAACCCAACATTTCTTTTGTAGCTCAGTCCATCTTTGGGGTTATCCAGGATGAGATTACACAACATTTTCTCTGACACTGCAAGCCAGCTTAAGAAGTTATCCCTCATGCCACTTGTTCCAAATGAGACAAAAAAAATTAATTTTAACTTAGGTCACTTGTGATACAGTTTACAGCACAGTCCTACCAAAAGCTGTCATGTTTACACAACCAAGGGAGCAGCAAATTCCAGTGTTTGTGAGAGGCTAAGAAAAGTCTTGAGAACAAAGACAGGTTAAGAGAACAGTTAATACACATCATGAAACTACAACTTCACCTTATTCTTAGATCTTTGTGACTTCATGGTTATAATTCTCTCTATGGTTTATAAACCCCTCTTTCATTAGGAATTAATGTTTGTTTTCCAATTGTCTTCGTCCTCAAATGGTCTTGCATTGGTTTCCCAGTCAAATTTTACCTAATACGTAACTGAAACGCCACCTGCAACCATACCTCCATATCTGAATCCATGCAAGTAATCCCATAATTTCACGCTGAAATTAAAAGGCTTCCCAGTCTCAATGCACTTGAATAACTGAGGCCTCTAAAAACTGTTTGATAAGTTCAGGCACCAAATGAACTGTATGTTTATGTATCAACACTGGATATTTAGAAGGCAAAGGTTTCCTACTTTAGAAATATCTGACAGTACTAGAAACCCAAGCCATAGCCAGTATTATGACATACTGAATAGTGATGAACATTTTTGTCATAACTATGAAATCCTTGCAGTCAAACAAGACTAACAGATATCAGAGATGGAAAATACTAATTTAAAGCATACTAGACCTGTACACTAACACTATTCCTTTAAGATACTATCCACCCACCAAAAAAACCCTCAAAAGTCTGGCATTGTTTCTGGTGAACAGGATGATATAGCCTGTGCAAAATAAGGTTTATAAAACTGATTTAAACTGATTTGATAGCTACTCTCACTAAATAGTACAAAAACTAAATCCTTGAGACCAATGAAGTCACATAAAGAAGCACTTTTAAAGTTTTAATTGTACATGCTAATAACTTTAATCACAATACTTTGAACATGTATAATAAATCCATTTACTTAAAACATCTGTAAAAGACTTTCTTAAGTCTTGAAATCTACTGCAGCTGCTCAGGCACACAAGCAGAATGATAAAGGTAATACCAGCTAAATCAGCTCCACTGAACTGTCGATAAAAAACCTTACACCACAAACAACACATAGATTAAGAACTGGGGTAAACATCAGAAAAGACCCCACATGGGGCTGCATGCAGAGCAAGAAATACCACACCGTATATATTTATGCATATAAGCATTAAGCATATAAGCACTTTCAAATCTTAGCCTAAAAACAACTTTGGTGATAACCGGCTTACATGAGACTTGAGCAGGATCAAAACTGAGAGCTAGCCAATAAAAAAAAAAACAAACCAGAAGACAGATAATATCTGATGTCAACAAACATAAAATAATAAACCCCTGAAAGAATAACTTGCAGTTATTCCCACGTGACATCGAATTTTAAGCCAAATGTAAGCAGATAAACAAAACAATCACTCACAGGATATGCACTTCAGCAGAATCTCTATTTTAATACAGACATACACTAGACAAGAGAAAGTGTTCTGATGAAAAGAGGAAAGGTATTGAAAACATTCTCAATTCACCTGGAATACTGTCTTTTGTGACACTGCAAAAAACACAGAAAAACAATTAGTTCATAGATTTGTATGAGCTATGAACAAATACGACTCTATGAAAAAAGAAAATACACAAATATACCCTCCTTCCCCCACTCCTGCAGAAAAAGCACCACACAAAACCAGACGAAAATCAAGACGACAGAAAATCTAAGCAGCAAGAGTTAACGCCTTCATTCCTAATATAAGGAAATGTGCAACTATGATTAAAAAGCAATCTACTAACAACAAAAGGAATCATGTAATGCTATTGTGGAAGTCATTGTCAAAGACAGATGCAGAGACAACTCACCTCAGAAAGGGACAATGTTTCTATTGATTTTAAATCAATAGGTGCCTGCACCAGATTGGACAGTTTTTTTTCTACAAATCAGATTTAAAGATTCAGCTTTGACTGCGTGAAACAGTAACTAGATAACCAAAATTAGGCAGACAATTGCCTTCTAGGCAAGTCATTTCACATAACACATGGGGGTTATCATTGTCCACGTGAACCAGACCTCTCTGCATCCAGTACTGCATAACCCACAGAGCTTGACATTTGAGTGAGGCATCACCCTTTTTCTTTGAGCATCTTACAGGTTGCAACTGACAGTGACAACCTACTTTACACTTGCACCTTGCAGCTGTCACTGTACTGATGTTCACAACCAATTTAAACGAGACATACAATCTACTCTCTAGATGAACACAGTATGCAGCAGAAAGCATCTATTTGTATGCAGCAAATAAAACTGGATTACTGTTCCTTCAGCAGAACTACTACAAAGAAGCTTCTTTGTATATTCACATTTTTGTACAGTTTTTCACGTCTGCATGAAGACAGATCTATCTTACAAAATAATTTTTAAATCTCTTATTCAGAAATTCAAGAAAGCTTCTCATTTACCTTTTGATAAAGAAATTGTAACTGAAACAAGTTAAAGAAAACAAACGTAAGCATGAGCTCAAATGTTGACTCAGATCATGCTAGTATTACTCATATTAGTCATTACTGGCCTCGTGCTGAGAACCCCATGGGACACATGAATACATAAAGAACCCACCAAAATCAGTGCACAGCCAGGGTCAGAGGCTTTGAAACAGTAGCTCTATTAAGTCAAATGAAAAAATATAACTGTGTACTTGCCTAATGACAATGATAACATTTGCATGCAAGCCTAGGTAAAAAGTAGCAGGTGTATTACAAGAAACATGCTAGCTAGCCTGTAACAGAAGAGGAGCACTAGGATAGGACAATTCGGGTTGAAAGGCACCGCACGAGGTCATCTAGTTCAACCTCCTACTTAAAGTTCCAGTTACTTTTCTAAAAAAAAGGCACCAGGTTTTGGTTGCCTTCTTCCAGTTGGGTTTTGGGGTTTTTTTTGTTGTTTTTTTGGGGGTTTTTTTTGGTTTTTTGGGTTTTTTTTTTGTTTTGTTTTTTTTGGGTTTTTTTTAGAATACCATTTTTTAGAACAAACACTTGTTTTATTATTGCATGGTCAATTCTGTTAACTGCTTTTTAACAGCAAGTTTTGTAACTTTTGATACTCTTCTATTCATAATGAACACCATTTAACTACTGTCTCTGTTTAATATTACTACATTTCTGAATTTTGTTTATTAGCCTCTTTAAGGCTCTTTCAGATGAGATGTCAGGTTATTTCTTGTAACTGTAAACATCATCACTTAGCTTTTGTTTACATAAGGTCATACTGGAAAAATGCCCCAAAGCTGAAATAAAAAGAGACCAATGGCAAAGCAACAACATCATTCAGCAATTGCTTTTCTTCTAACTTCAGAAAGATGATGCCACTGCTAATACAACATGGCAGTAACACTCACTTTAGTACTATTCTGTGGTCATGCATAACACTACCTCCACATAGTTTGGAAATGGTTATTCTACAGAGATTTCAACTTTAGATCAGCCTAATTATCACTTTGAGCAGCTACAAGTAAAAAACAGAAGCAATCTCCTTTTGTTTTCCATTCTGCAGTTCCAGTAAGTCCGATTCAACCAACAAGGATGCTGGACCATATGCATTCCCGGTACTTCTTGCTCATTACAACTTCCCCTTCCAGCAGAAAATACTCCTTCCCCATGTTGCTGCCATTGGCGCTTACAAAAAATGAACATCTGTGAATAGGTCAAATTCAGGCTTCTCTGGAAAGTCCACCACAGCTTCAAATCCCTGCTATTTTATACAATAATACTGAAATTGTTTAATTCAAGAGTCTAGACTTATACCATGTAAGTCACTCTGGATGCATTCTCATCAAGGAGAACACAGTAGCAGTTACTGTATTCCCACTGAATCCTCAAATTACTGCCACAAACCCTAAAAAGGGAAGAAAAAGGGGCATGACCAAAGAACATCACTACAGTATTAGCACCATATCATTTATGAAGAAGACTGAGATGCAAGGAAGGAAAAGAAAGTTAATCCATATAACTGATCCAAAATACCTTTAAGCACGCATATTTCTCTATAGTCTTCTGTCAATACTGATTTTCCATAAAACAGAAATTTAAGAAATACTTCTCTCACCTAGTTACATACACATTACATTTAGCTAGCAATAGAACAAATGAAGTAGATAATAAATTGGTAAGCTTTACAGAGCAAAGATGTCAGAAACACTAATCACGAAGCAAATTTAAAAGTTTGCTTTACAAATTTACTCAAGTGCAAAATTACACTCAAAACTCTTAATAACCATTATAATCTTCCCAGTTAAGTTTCCTTCTGTACAACAACCAAAAGGAATACAGTCAACAATTCTCAGCATAAAACAATTTATGGATAACCAAAAGAAGGTGCTATTTTCTCACCTGTCACTGACTGCAGAAGTGAGACATTTGAAGACAATGCCACAATCAGGTTCTAATTAGACTTCAGTCAAAAAAAAAAAACCCAAAAAAACCACCTGAGGAAGTTTTATTTGAAATTATTTTCTTAAAAGAAAAATTATCGTCTGAAAATTAATCAAATCTGTTAATTCACAACCCACACCTAACGGAACACTTCCCCACGCAGAAGCAAATTCAATAGAGACTTACAGAGAGAAACCACAAATGCGGTTTTTCGTGACTGTTTGCCCTCCTTCTGTGAAGAGATTTTTTTTTTTTTTAACGGCACAAATAAGTATTCGCGAGGAAGTTCTCCCGCAACACACAGCACCTCCACCGAAGAGGCGCGGCAGCCACACTTCCCCGCCGCCCAGGTCGGCCCGGCCCGCCCCCCGGGAGCCCTGTTTACGGAGGGGGAGGAAGCCAGCGCGGTGCCCCGCGCACAGCGCCCGCCGGGCAGAGCCGCCCGCCCCCCGAGCGCCCGCCCGCCGGTACCCCGGCGAGGCGCGGCCGCTCCGCGCGGGGCTCGCCTTGCCGGGCGGGGCGGGGCGCCCCTCGGCCCGCGGGGACGCCGTGCGGCCGCAGGGCAGGCATCGCGCAGCTCGCCCGTGGACGCGGCAGTCCCCTCGTGACAGAATCGCAGCATACTCTGAGTTGGAAAGGGCAAGGGACACACATGGATCATCGCGTCCAGCTCTTGGCCCTACACAGTACCATCCCCAAGAGTCACGTATGTGCTTGAGATCGAAACTCCTCTGGAGCTGTGTCAGGTTCCGTCGGCACTAGAGAGGGCACCAGGGTTTTGTCAATGCGGGAAGCAGAACCGCTGCCGAGCAGGCGGGTGCTGCTCTTTGCCCCCGCTGCCTGCTCGACAGCCGGTGTGGGCAGCAAGGGCTTCTTGCCTCCCGCAAGTCTCCGTCTGTAGGAGCCCGCCGAGGCGAAAGCTGGACCGCTGTGAGGCGAAGGGCTGGGGACCAGCGAGCGTGAGGGACAGATCTGGCCTTGTTCAGCCATGGCAAACAAGCAGTGCGTCTTTGCTGCGGTCTGGCTGCACAGTAGTGAGTGTGTTAGCTGGGCCAAAGAAAAAATGTATGGTAGTTTTTTAAGCAAAGTGTGTGTGTGTGTGTGTGTGTGTGTGTGTGTTCTAGTTCTGTCCCACCTCTTGGGATTTATTGCATAGTTCTGACTTCTGAAATGCACACTTTTCTGTCACTTCCTGTGTGATGAGTTTGTTCCTTGTTTTCTTGTCTGTGCCAAGTAAACATGCTTCACCTGAAGGCTCTGGTGGGTTGTCTGTTAGACAAAGGAAAAACACAAGCTGGGACAGGGAAGAACTAAAAAGCCATGTAAAAGTTTGATGGTTGATGAGTCTCAGACTGCTAATAGACTCAGGTTCATTACATTCTTGCTCTCAAAGCAGGCTGTTATGTGTCAGCTAGCAATTTGGTACTGTTAAAATGTAATTCTTTAAGAACAATCTTACTTTGTCATTTCTATGATGTGATGCATGGTCTTTTGCTCTGTACAGAAGAGTACGCCCATGTGCTGTAACATAATCTCCCAGGTCTCATGTCCTTTAAGATCATCTCACAAAATCTCCAAAATAAAAATATTCTGATGCCTCCCAAACATAATTACCTAACATGCCAATGATATCCAGACCACTCAAAAGATACGGAGAGTCGTGTACTACATTGGTTGTGTTCACTGCATGACATAAGACTCTGCTCATCAAGATTTCTGTGGACAGATCCCTGCAAATGCAAAGAATTTGACTGAAATAGATGACAAATCCTCATATTGTTAAGTTTCAGTAGTTTGTCAGAGTCAGGTGTAGTTGGGCTGCAAAATTTCTCAGCCTCTGGAGTGATAAAGCACACCACTGCTTGCCTAGATTTTGAAAGTCCGATCTGTGTTAGGACTCCAAACTTTACAGCTTATCTAATGATACCTGGTATTCTTGTTTGTCTTCAATTATAACTAAACATGTTTTAGTATAACATAGCAAGAAACAGAATTGTCCTATGAAATACCCTTTTTCACTGGTCTGTTCAGCATTGTTCATTACTTTCATCAGGGTTCTTGCTATTATATCAGTTTTCAACAAATCCTTTAAAAGGCATCTGCGCTCAAAAACTGTGAACAACTCAGGTTTGCATCTAACTGCCATTTAAGCCCCCTCCCCTTCCCTTTTTCTTTGCTAAATGATGATACAGTGTCAATACATTTGCATGTTACTATGCTTGGACACCAGTGTCAACCTGTGGGAGGGAGTTGAAGTACCTCCATACTGTTCACACATTTCATTTTGTGTCTTCACATTCTGTGAATGCTCTTGTGTGTAGGGTGTAGTAACACAGCCATAACCATAGAATCCAAAAACATGGATGCTAAACAAAAAACTTAATAAACATATTCCCGAATAATGGACAAAAATACCGCTAATTATACAAAAAGCATTATTTCTGCAGGTGGTGTAGCAGCTTCAAATTTAGTTTGCTTTTCAAAGCAAGTTACGAACTTGCCATCTGTGCAAAAAGCCTAGTTTTACTTACTTGATTACTTTACTTCTGTGTTCCAAATTCTGAGATTAGTGTGCTGGCCAGGATATAGACTTTGTTTTGGTTTCATGTTCAAAAAGCTGAAAATTACAGAAACAGTTCTGTAGTAGGTCCTTCAAAAATTCTCATAGTTGTCCTTTGATTTATCATTTTCAGCTGAAATTAAAATCAAAGCATATTCTCTGTTCAGAAGTAGGGAGCTATTTGCAAAACCTTTTCAAATTACAACACTAACGAAATTACTTATTTTAGTCGAATCTATGCATGTATTTCACTTGTCTTTCTACTTTTATAGTAGGATGTAAAATTCATACGGTTTAGTAAGTACATATGTCATAATGTTTTTTCTCATTTTCTTTGTGTAATAGGCCCGGCCTTGGACAAAAACATACTTTGGTTAAAAAGCCATGTTTTCCCTTTAAATATATGATGCAAAGAACAGTCGTAAAAGAATTGTTTTCTTTTTTAATAGTCATTCTCTAAAACCTTTTTCTTGAAGTCGTATGAGTGATTACCTCCTTCCTGGAGGAGAATGGAAGAAAAAGCACCTGTAAATACAGGTTTGTGTATGACTCGGCTTGCAAAAGGACACACTTCTAATTCATCCCCTTTGGGAAAATATAACTTAGGAAAAGAAGCCATCTCTTGGCTTTGAGGGCCCCAACAGGAAGCACAAGATTTTCCCCTTCTATTTGAAGGGAAGACATCCATTTGATAGGGCAAGACATCCATTGGATACTGTTCCTCTGACAGACAGTAGAAAGTACCTAAAAGTACCATTTGTAATGCATTTCTGCAAAGACAGCTTTTGGAGCATATACCTAAGTATGCAAAAGGTACTTCTCCTGACACTAAATTGTACCCTCATTAGAAGATGAACTTCTTTGTCAGTTCCTTCTCCAACAGTCCACTGTGTTCTTGATCAGGTACAATATGCTGCATCACACAACAATCCCATAGGAAAAAAATTTTTAAAAATCCAAACAAACATAGAAAAAGCCCGGCAAGAACAGGCATTAGTTCAACTGCTGAGCAAGCAAAAAGCACTCAGAGACTACAGTGACTAATGCACGATGGTGACTTCTATGAACCAGAGGAATGGAATCAGGTAATGCTCCCTGTGTGTCCAAAACTGCCCTGTTTCCTTCCCCAGAAGTTTCCAGGAATTGGATAAGCTTTCATTTTCCAACAGCTCTCCGGGATTCCCTCCAAACAATATAAGGAGAAGACAGAGAAGCCTGCTTTGTAGCCAGCAGTGATCAGGAATACTGCTCTGCCTGACAGATTGTATGAGAGATGGGTGTGTCAAATGTCCAGTGGCATTAAATCTTGGATTAAAAGTATTGCATAGAAGTATTGCTGTATTTCTTAACCAATATTGGTAGAATATGCACAAGTCACCCACATGTAGTGCATGAGATTTTCATCTGCACCTTTCAAATTTAATTGTTCCAGTTTTGTGGATTTCAATAGTTTCTGATAGGTTTTCTGCAAATAAAGATTAAATAATTTGCTTATTTACTGTTTAGTGAAGCTAATTGCCTCATGTGAGTAGTAAGGCCTGCACTGATCTCCCATACTGCTTGTGGCTCTATTAAATGTTGCAATCCTTTGAGCACTGTCATCCATGTGGCTCAGCACAGGTTGGTGTGGATCTGATATGGAAATGGAGTAAATTCATTTCTTGCCAAGTTAGTTGAGTCATAACAGAGCAGCAGCATGGGATTTCCTTTTAAGGAACATATGCCTTTCTCTTATTAGAGGATAAAACCTAGTGTGCAGCCAACAATTTAGTAGCTGGAAAAAGTAGGCAGGCAAGTAAGCACAAGCAATTGGTTTAACTATAGAACTTCAAAATAAATTTTTGAAATGCAGTCCACTGATGGGAAATGGCTTGGTATAAATGGTATTACGTGGAATCACAAATTTACTGTCACCCTGTGACTTTTTTGGTTAGTAAACATACTAGTACCACACAGTGAAGAAAAGGGTCAGTAAGTCTGAATTTCTACTCAAAATCTGCTAACAGAATGAAAAAAATTAATAAAACTGCAGCCTGAGGCTGAAGGAGAACCTTCAAGTATGAAAACTCAGCTTGTAGTGTTTGTTAGTGGCTCTGCTGTCAAAAGTCCTAGTGATTGCAATACAAATGCTTCAGGGGTCCATCAGTATGCCAGGACTCCATCAAGTGACTGTTTCCTAACCAACTTTTGCTTGCATAGGTTCTGTTTTGTTTTGTTTTCCCTTTCATCTTTAAAGCAGGGTATCTTCTGTGTTTGACTGGTATCTAAATACAATAATATGTGAATTTGTCTTGGGTTTTCATGGCCAGGTTTTGGTAGTGGGGGAGCTACTGGATTCTGTCAGAATATGCTGGCAGTGTCCTCCATGTCTGGTAGAGCC